TGATGGTGGGTGTAAAGGGGTGGTGTTGAGCAGCAGTGGTGGTGAGTGAGGTGTGCTAGCCTTCATGTGAGTCATTGTTTGAAACTCCCGTCGAAGGCGTTCATGTGAGGGACCGTTGAAGGGCAGACTCGCGCTTCCTTACCAGCTGTCCACCCCCCCATTCTCACCATTATTTCTTCGTGTCTCAGGTTCCTAACTCCCCTCCCTTCCAACCCAGTTAAGCAAACAGTCACGTCAACTCGCACATGCCATGACTCATCTCCCCATTGCGACCTTCAACACTTCTTAGTTGCTCCCCACTCACTCGTTCTTACCTTTTTTCTCTCCCCCCCCACTCTTCCTTCTTTCTCCCCTCCTCCCGCCCCCGTTGTATCGCCTCGCACGTGCATCAATCCATTCAGGCCGGGCCATCTGATCTGAGGATGCTAAGTTGCAGGGCTGCTGGGAAGCAGGGAGGCTGATTCAACTGGGATGCTTCGGCAGACTATTCCGCATCGTGTGTCCAACGTAATCAAGTTCACTCACACAGTAGTGACCCACCAGCTGCTGCACTGCACCCCACCTGCTCTCTTGCTCCTCCACTACCCCTCCATTCTCCAACCGGCCCTCCAGCACGCCAGGGCTTTCAGGTGCGTCTCACCTGCGCCCTCCCCCAGGTTTCAGCTGGATGGGGAGAGATTTGGGGAGAAATGGGTGTGGGAAGGGCAGGGGGTGGTGGTGGCTCGGGGTTACAGTAAGGAGAGCTATGGACGTGCACTGTATGGGGTGTGACGCATATGATACATATGATACATGAGATACATGAGCATGGGTCTGGCCGTGGGCCGGGCTGCGGCGAGATTTTGTAACTGCCGGCCCGCGTTGGGCTGGCCCGGCCAGACGTTGGCCGAGTTGCGGTCGGGGTTTCTGGCCTGTTGCGACTCGCGGCCCATGTCCAACGAGGGGTGTGGGTGCTAGCAACAAGGGGCCGGGCCAGGTAGCGACCCATGCCAGGCTGAGATTTTGAACCGTCGGCCCGCGTTGGGCTAGCCCGGCCCAGCACTCCGGGCCAGACGTGGCCCGGTTTGTGGTTCGAGGTTTCTGTGGTCCGGCCGGGCTGGTCCAGGCCAGATTCCAGTTTGAATCGGGCAGGTCAGTGTCAGTGACTCACTGATGCTTGCGAGCCGAGCTGCGCGCTACACGTGCCACGTCTTGTGGGCACAGTAAGGGGGGAGTGGGGGGTTGTGGTTGCTAACAGGCGGGAGTGTGAGCGCGAGCAATGTTGGGGTGTCGGTGCGAGCAGAGGGGGTGTGTGGGAGGGAGCAGGAATGGAGGGTGTTGGGGCGAGCAGGGAGGGGTGTGGGCTTTGGCAAGGGGGAGTGTGGGCGCAAGCAGGAAGAGGGGATGTAGGCGCGAGCAAAAAGGGGGGTTGTTGTGCAGCAGAGGCAGCAAGAGACATGAATCACCTGCATTCCTATGCATGATGAACTGGGTGGGGGGATCGGTAGAAGGCTGAATGCTATGTGCGCATGGGCATGTTAAACGGGGTAGGGGCGATTCGTGCATGTGTATGAATTGTGCATGAATTGTGCATGGATTGTGCATGCTGTGTGCATGGTGTGTGCATGCATGGTGTGTGCATGGTTTATGGATGCATGGTGTGTGCATGTTGTGTAATTCGTATGCACGGTTTGCACTGCAAGGTTTTGCATGGCGATTGTGGTGGCCATATGGCACCAGTGCATGGTTGAGTGGGAGGTACCTTCCTTTCATTTCATACATCAGACAACAACCCCGTGATTCTCATTCCTCTGTTCCCGTTCCCTCCCTATCCTCTCTCCTTACCCTTTACTTCCTGACTCCTTGGCATCCCCTTCCACTCCCGTTCCACTCCCCTTCCCGTCCCATTTCCTTACAATTTACTCCCCATTCCCCTCCCGTTCCACTCCCCTTCCCGTCCCATTTCCTTACAATTTACTCCCCATTCCCCTCCCGTTCCACTCCCCTTCCCGTCCCATTTCCTTACAATTTACTCCCCATTCCCCTCCCGTTTCCCTCCCCTTCCCCTCCCCTCCCCTCGCATTTCTCTCCACTGCCCCCTCCACTGAGCTCATTCGCCTCCCACTGTAGCAAACAGCACTCTAACTGCCTCACTGAGCTCATTCGCCTCCCACTGTAGCAAACAGCACTCTAACTGCCTCACTGAGCTCATTCGCCTCCCACTGTAGCAAACAGCACTCTAACTGCCTCACTGAGCTCATTCGCCTCCCACTGTAGCAAACAGCACTCTAACTGCCTCACTGAGCTCATTCGCCTCCCACTGTAGCAAACAGCACTCTAACTGTCTCACTGAGCTCTAACCGCCCACCCCCCCCCCCCCTGGCTCCCCCCCCGCCCTCCCCCCGACCCCCCGGCTGCCCCCCTCTCCATCCCCCTCCTCCCGCTGCCTCCAATCCCTCCTGCTTCCCCTTTTCCGCCCCCCATCACTCCTCACTACTCCCCTGCTCTCCGCCCCTTCCCCCCCACGCCACTTTTTCACTTGTCCTCCCCTCCTCCCTCCCGCTCCTCTGCATCCCCGTTTCAACCAACCCCCCCTTCCCCACCCACATCCCCCTTCCTCTTACCCCCCCCCCTCTCCCTCCGTCCCTCAGTTTTGCCTCAGGTGCCTGGCACCTTGCTACTGCGGCCACTCGCCACTTGTTGTCGCCCTCCGTTGAAGCGCCTCACCCGCAGCTGACAGCTCGCTGCTGCCACTCAGCACACCTGCTCCGCCCGCCTGCTGCATCGGTCGTTACTGCCACTTGCTCGCACTCCAGGTACGGTTTCTCTGAAGTTCTCCCACCGTCTCGCCCTACAAAATGCGCCCTGCTGCTCTTGCCGCTCACCAGCCTACTTTGCCGCCCACCAGCCGGCTCTCTTACTTTTGCCCTTTTGCTCCTCACAATTGCACCTTTGTTCATCGATGCATCGATGCTTCTCCCACCACCTTTCTCAGAAGCACATGCTGTGATGTGATGTGAACGGTAAAAGCTAGCACAACAATGAGAGGAGCATAATTCATGGAGTATAAAAAATGACATCGAGTGGCATACAGAAAATCACGACAAGCATCTCACCGCAATTGTCTCACTGCCCTGCAACGATGCACGCAACTCATCACTGCACTACAAAGCATTGCTCGCATATCGCTGTGCGCCACCACTGCTCACCACTACGCACCAATCTGCTTCATACTTGGCTACCGAATTCGAAATTGGTTACAATCACTGCACAAGGCAGCGTTAAAGGCAAGAGAGAAAGGCTAGGCATGAGAAAAGAGCAGGCATGGGTGAAGAGCAGGAATGACTGAAGGCCATGGATGAGTGACTGGTACGGAAGTTATAAGCAATCGGATGTGTTTTAGAAATAAGGCATGGGATGAGGTGTGCTTGCGCCGCTGTCCCAACACCATCCTTTCCTACTTCAACTTGGGGTGCTACTTATCCCTCTCCAAGCATTCTGGCTCTGCCCTCTCCACGAGCCTCACCTCCCCCCACACAGGCCATGATGGCACGGCAACTGCCAGAAGCAGCGGCGGGGAGATAGGGGGGGACGGGGCAGGGGAGGGGAAGGTGGGGTCAAGGGGGTGAAATGTGACAGCAAAGATCATTGAAAAACGTTTGGTATCTCTCTGCTGCCACCATCAACCACCCTCCAAGGAGGAGGGGGAGGGGATCGTTACGAGATAACGGGGAAATCTATAGATACACAGCACAGCACAAGAAGGGGAGTGGGGCGTGGAGGAGGGAATCGATTGATGGCATATCAGGCGGTTGTGGTTTGGGAAGGAGGGAGAGTTTCCTCTAGAGGGTGCGACTGAAGTGGTGCTGCTGCTTCGTTGGGATGGTCGTGGAGCAGTTGGGAGGGTGTTGGAGGGCAGAGGAGGATAACCTGAATGGTGAGGGACACTTAACGCATGCATGGGGTGATATAAGGAGGGGCATGACATGATGGGATGAAGGGCATGGTACAATGGGATCCATGGGGTGGTGAGGGGTTTCGGGTATAACAAAATGGATCTAAGGAGCAAGGGAGGGAGGGAGGAGGTAGAAATGGGAGATGACAGGGGGCGAGCAGAAGAGGATGTACAGGGAAACATAATGGACTTGGGGAGAAGAAGAATGAGGACGAGAGGAGAAGAAGGTATGTGGGGCGGCTGAAGCACCTGTAATGACTAGGAGGTGCGACAAAGTCGCTGTTGGCGCAAAAAAGTGGGAGGGAAGAGGTGGATCAAGGGAGAATTTGGGCGGAAGGAGTTTGTGAGGACTGGAGGGGTGACTGGACAGAAGACGAGGGAATGAATGCAGGAAAAGAAATTAGGAAAATGTTTCAATGAGAGACGAAAGAATGTGGCGGAGCTAGTGCATGTGACGCCTCCTCGTACTGCAGGAGGAGAGGGCGAGCACGTGAGGGCGAACACGTGAGGGCGTGACTGTACTGCCTTCCATGGGCCACCTGGCTGGGTGGTGCATTCTGTGGGGATGGATAACTGGGGGAACATCCAGGAGGCCAGTTTGGAGTTAACACACAATCAGCCTTTTCAGTCATCTTCAAATCATTTTGCATTCAAAAATGGTTTCGCGACCTTGTAGGTGCTTGCAAAACTAGGGTTTGATAACAGGATTGCACCTTGAGAAGTTTTACTTATCAGCTTCAACCAACTGGGTGACCTTTTCTGCAGGTGGAGCAACAAAGGCATATACTGAACCCTCATGGGCTACGCTTGCACTTCGTCATCCCTCATGTGGAGCGAGCGGGAAACAAGCCCGCGCAACCAGCATGCAGTTAACGCCCACAATGTCATGGATTCTGCTGCCTCCCACTTACCCTTCAAGCCTTCCTCCTCGCCTTCCTCCACCCGCTCCTCACCGCGTGGCCTTGCTCACCGCGTGGCCTTGCTCACCGCCGTCCCTGCGGCACGTGGCTGTCTGTCCGGCTGCCAGGCTGTGCGCTCCAGCCATGGGTTGGTCCCCTCGCTGCTACTACAGGGCAGGAGCTTCTGGTGTGGGAAGAGGAGGGGAGGGAGAGAGAGCAGAAGGGGGAGCGGCGGAGGGAGAGCATGTCACTTACGCTCCTCCATCTCCCGCTCCTGCTGCTTGCGCTTCCGCGTGATGCACTCCTCAGCTGTGAGAGGGAAGGGGGAGGAGAACGGGGCAGGGGGAACCGAGAGGGGAAGGGGGAAGTGGGGAGAGGGAAGGGGGAAAAGGGGAGGGAGGGAGGAGGGAGGAGGGAGGAGGGGAAAGCATGTCTGGTGAATGCGCCTACGCTTGATACACTCCTGCAGCTGTGCCGGGAAGGAGGAAGAGGGGGGGGGTGGGGAAGGGAAGGTGAAAGAGGGAAAGGGGGAAAGGGGGCAAGGAAAAGGAGGAAAACAACAAGGGGAAGCAAGAGAGTATAAGGGAGGAGAGAGAGAAAACTTGCACTGCAGTTTCGAACGAAGTGTGGGAGAGTTGGTGAGAGGGAAGTGGGAACGGTCACATTTTCAAATGCAGCAGAAAGAGCGAGCAACAGAGACCCTACCAGCTGCAGTTTCTAAGAAACACAGTGGGGAAGGGAAAGTGAGGCGCCTCAAAGGCAGGCACCTACCAGCTGCAGCTACTGGTGAAATGAGGCAGGTGGCGGAGTTCAGAGGCTCGTCAGCAATGACCTGAGGGATGGGCGGCGCCTCCCAATTCCCCTGCAGCTCGCAGGTTAACTCAACCACAACGGCACTACGGCTGGGGGACTGGCAGCGGGAGAGTGGAAAGGGGATGAGGGCCTGGGTGAGAGTACAGAACATAGAGAGGAGGCCAGGCAAGGGTCTTACTCCCTCTTCCACTGCAGCTCCTGAGTAAACTCCGGTAACAGCACTGCCATGGCCCGGGGAGGAGAGCACCAGGCAAGGAGGCAAAAGGGCAAGACCGAGAGTGCGAAAGGGAAGGGTAAGGTAAGGCAGGAAACGAAGGGGAGAGGGTGGCTAGCAGGGATGGGCAGCGCCTGCTACCAGTTGCACCCACCAGATACTACCAGTTGCTATTATAGCATCGCGACGGTTGCAGGAGGGGCAGAGGTGAGGACGCAAGGGGGCAGAGGGCCAGGAGTGAGAGAGCAAAGGGAGGGGGCAACGCAAAATTCCTGCTCCTCCCAGTTCCACCGCAGCTACTGTGTGAACTCTGATAACAGCGTTGCCACGTCAGGAAGAAGGGAGTGGTGGGCAGGAAGCAGGGAGTGGTGGGCAGGAAGCAGGGAGTGGTGGGCAGGAAGCAGGGAGTGGTGGGCAGGAAGCAGGGAGTGGTGGGCAGGAAGCAGGGAGTAGTGGGCAGGAAGCAGGATGCGACAGGGAACAGGAGAGCATGATGCAGGATGTGGGGGTGAAGGGATGCCACAAGGGGCAGATAGGGCAGATAGCGCAACAAGGGGAGGGAGGGCGAGGATGACATTACATCACATTGGATGTTGCAGGTGCCTAAGCACAGCACATGCAACGCGAGGCGTGCGCAGAGCGAGCCCACCGGCGCCGCCTTACCACTGTGCGTCGCACTTGCCACTGTGCGTCGCACTTGCCACTGTGCGTCGCACTTGCCACTGTGCGTCGCACTTGCCACTGTGCGTCGCACTTGCCACTGTGCGTCGCACTTGCCACTGTGCGTCGCACTTGCCACTGTGCGTCGCACTTGCCACTGTGCGTCGCACTTGCCACTGTGCGTCGCACTTGCCACTGTGCGTCGCACTTACCACTGTGCGTCGCACTTGCCACTGTGCGTTGCACTTGCCACTGTGCGTCGCACTTGCCACTGTGTGCCGCACTTACCACTGTGCGTCGCCCCCTTGCACTTGCCATTAAGCCCATTCTCCTCCACCCCTTTCTCCCCTGCGCTCTCTGTGCCCCCTGCTGCCCCTGCCCCGCCCCCCTACTTTTTGCTCGCGCTGCTCCCTCTCTCAAGGGACCCGTCACCCTGCAACTCACTGGAGTGAAATAGGTCCTTGACCACACGAGCCATGGCACTCAAAGGGGGGATGTTCATGGCGTTGCACCGCGCAAAGTTCTGAGCTGTGAGGAGGGGAGCAGGAGATGAGGCAGGAGAGAAGGTGAGAAGAGAAGGGGGAAGAAAATAGAGGAGAGGGGGGAGAGATGAGAGGAGCAGAGTAGACGGGGGGAGAGGAGATGCGTCCCTGTAACGGGGCGTTCTGCAGAGCTAAGAGAACGGCAATGAAGAGTAGCAGATGACAATGTATGATGCAGCTGATGACAACACAATGTACACTAGAAAACAATTCCCATATTTGTTCTGCCTCGTTAGCAATCTAGCATCACAACTGCCACACTGGGTGCGAATAGGCGACGATCAAAACGAGATGCAGACCCAGCAGCCCGCAATGGATGGGGGCATGATGGGACCAGGAGCAGCAGCCATTCAGTTTTTAGCACCATTTGGGTGGGGCAGAGTGATGGCGCTGTCACATCCTGCGCAGCTTCTCTTACCTCTCGCGTCGCGCCTTCCTGCCATCAGCTGAGAGGCCCCACACTCACCTACTGGCGCACTGCTGCCTGCCAGGTGCATTCCCACACAGAAAATGCGGCAGCGAGAGCCACCTTGGGAGATTGGATGCACGGGAAAGCAGCGCTCAGGTATTCATGCTGCCTTGTCTACACATTGGCGCTAAAAATGTCATACCAGGCGCGGATAGAAGGCATGGCGCAAAGGGAGAGGGGCAGGGTTAGCAGCAGCAACGGAGGGAAGAACTGAGCAAGGAACATATCCACCGAATCAGGGTCAATGACCCTGCACAGCAAGGAACTCATCCTCGTTAAAGGCTGATTCACCTCATTCCTAGTCAACCCCCCAAACCTTGTCTATCCTTGTTGGGAGACGCGCATCGGACAGGGCGGGGGGATGCGGAGAGACGCGGATCGCGAGGGCCTTATCCTCGTTAAAGGCAGAAGCGCTCGCAGGGCGCGTTCGTACTCAGCCCCTACCAAAAACCCTGTCCGCAAATCCCTCCACCCACCTCTTCTTCTACTTCACTTCTCCCTTACCCCCACACCTTTCCACCAAAACCCTCCGCTTCCCCATCTCCTCGTCAACTCACTCCTTTCCCATTCCCCCCGTCCCTTTGGTCCCATTCCCCCCTATCCCCTGCGAAATGCGCCTCAGGTCAGCAAGCACCTGAGTGAGCACTTCGGTCTTTGACATCTCGAGCAAAAATATTTCGCTGCCCGCCATCATCGCGAAAGGCGTCTCCTCGCCGAGCGCTTTCACCATCCCCATCGCGATCGCCGATTTCCCGGATCCGGGCTGCCCGGCTCTGCCCTGGCCTGCGATTTTTCCCTCCTTGATCATCGCCATGATAATTCCAGCTGCCCGGCGTGGCTTTTCCCTGTCCGAACACGCGCTGCGACACGCCTCGCGCTTCCAACGTATCGTCTAGCCCCAGCCCGCGAATGTGCGAGTGCGCGCCGATTCGCTCGACGCGCTAGGTCTTACTCTGATACTTTAACCTCCGCCATGAAGCGAGCTAACTGGCTGGCGACTCAGTTGATTAGAAAAGAAAACGTAAAAGCGAGTTGAAATAGTAGCGCAACGGGACAGCAGACTGTGAACTGAAGAAACTATTTTGACCCTAAATGCAAAGTAAGAGTTGCAAATCGCAACTCTGGTTTCCTCTCGCGAATCGAATTGAGCGAAGTGCAGCGAATTTTAACTTCGCCTACACAATTACTTCCTGTGTAACGAAAGAGATCCCCCCCCTTCGCTACACAACCTAACTCGACCTCCTATTTTTAGACCAGGCACTAATTTAGGGAAGCTATGGGAGAACGAGACGAGAACCCTACTTCGGCCTACTAGCTTCTCGTTCTTAACACATTGTTACTAAACAGTTACAACTTCACAAGTTCTCATTCCAACCAGAAGAATCATCGAGGGACCCTGTATCGAAGACCGAATTCTCAAGTTGGACAATGTTGAATTAGCTGGACCAAGTTCGCTGGACCGGATGAACCAGTCCTAGTTCGAAGCATTCCCGAGCACAAACATCTGATGTACAGCCCCGAGCTGACGTGGTGCACTCTAATTCGGTAATTCACAATCTGCAAATTGCCTAACAAAAACTTCGCATTTTCCCAATTCCGAATCGCGTAGCAGCCGCGCCTCGATTTCACACTCGACCATTGAGCTTTGCACTAGAATTCAAGTTTCAGTCTCCCCAATTTTCCAACACAAATACCTCCCAACAGACGTAACGAATCGTCGAACTAGTTCATTCCACACTCACTACTAGTGCAGCCATCTTCAGCTTCTCCCTCCAGCGTCATGGCTACTCTCTCCTCCGCCACCGCAGCATCCGCTGCTTCCGCATTTTTCGGCTCCAGCGCGGAGCTCGCGTCGAAGGTCCGCAACGTGGAGTGTCGCGTGACGATGCGCAAGGCCGCACCCTCTGACAACCTTAGCCAGTGGTACGGCCCGGATCGCAGCCTCTTCCTGGGCCCGTTCAGCGCGCCGCCCGCGTACCTGAAAGGCGAGTTCCCCGGTGACTACGGGTGGGACACGGCGGGGCTGTCGTCGGACCCCGAGACGTTCGCCAAGAATCGCGAGCTGGAGGTGATTCACTCGCGCTGGGCCATGCTCGGCGCGCTTGGCATCGTCTTCCCCGAGCTGCTGGCGCGCAACGGCGTGCCGCTGCAAGAGGCGGTGTGGTTCAAGGCGGGCGCGCAGATCTTCTCCGAGGGCGGGCTCGACTATCTGGGCAACCCCGCGCTCATCCACGCGCAGAGCATCCTCGCCACGCTCGCCGTCCAGGTGCGTTCGTTCACGTCTGACCCACTCTCCTTGTGCTCGCCGTGCGGGTCGCGCTGCAAAGGCTTCCAAAATCCATTTTTCTCTGTTTATTATTTCTTTCGCTCGCGTCCATGTGAAGAAAAGTTCGTCCAATTTCTCACACAGATCCCACGCCATGTTTCGCCGCCAATTACTGCGTCGATTTCAGTTTCGTTAGCTCGTTCGACGGGATCTCACTCTTGTACCGTGGTAACCCGTATCCGCGTGCCACAGGTGGTACTGTTGGGCGCGGTGGAGAGCTACCGCGTGGGCGGTTTGGAGGGGTTCCAGGAGGTAGAGGATCCGATCTACCCGGGCGGCGCGTTCGACCCGCTGGGGCTGGCGGACGATCCCGACGCGGCGGCGGAGCTGAAGGTGAAGGAGCTCAAGAACGGGCGCCTCGCGCAGGTGTCCGCGCTGGGCTTCTTCGTGCAGGCGATCGTGACGGGCAAGGGGCCCCTCGAGAACCTCGCGGACCACCTCGCTGACCCCACTGCCAACAACGCGTGGGCGTACGCGCAGAACTTTGTCCCAGGCGCGTAGAGGAGTGGAGAGAGGTTTGATGAGCTTGGAGGAGTTTCGAGGGCGTTGGGAGGGAGTTTGAGGAGATTCGTGGTTGCCAGGATCAGGAATTTGTGAACTTGCACATATCTGTACAGCCAGGATTTGTGTAATTACCATATGGCCCCGGATATAGGCGCCGGCCTATTACAGGCGCCGGCGCTTCTATCTCGAGCATGGCGCTTATGGCCATTCCTCTTTTGTACCCTTCCTTATTATAAGCGCCACCCCTTTTGTACCCTTCCTTATTATAAGCGCCACCCCTTTTGTACCCTTCCTTATTATAAGCGCCACCCTCAATATTAACACTTTTTTACCACCACAACAAAAGCAAACAACTATAACATCGTTCGCTTCAACGAATACTACAAGTTGGTACACAATTTTAGACTTAATCTCCTATTCTACCTAGGTGCTAGTACCGGAACTACTCCTCGTCAGACTCGGGCTCCTGGCAGTTGTTGCCAAAGAAGCCGTCGGCGATGATGCCGTCGTCTACATCCACTTCCGCCGTCAGCTGGCTCCGCCTGTGCGCCATGGCGAGATGGTCCTCACTGCCGTCAAGCGCGTTGCTAATGCCGCAGGTGAGGAAGGCGCGCTTGACGAGGTCGGAGGGTACTGCTTTCCAGGCTCGTGAAATCCATCGAAGGACCACTTCTGGGGGGGGCTTCTTCAGATTCCCTGCACCGCAACAGAGACACCCGGGAAATCCCTGTCAGCATTTAAAGGTGAAAGGGGGATAAACATGCGTGATTAACGGAAACAACGTACCTGCAGCTGTCAGCTGCTCTTGGCCCTCCTCCTCAAACCACTTCTAGTACTGCTGACGAACAGATGCTTTGAAGCTCTTGTTGATGGAGAAGTCGAGTGGCTGAACCTCACCCGTACAGCCCGACGGGATGACAGCAGGCACGCAGTTGATCTCGCGGAGCTTCTCCTTCACCCCCTCGGTAAGGTGGCCGCGCTAGGAATCCAGCACGAGCATGGAGCTCTTCGCACACCTGCCAAATCGGGGCTTCAAGAAGGGCTTGACACACTCCTCAAGCCAGCGGATGACGCCT